TAGGAACAATGAGACTACTACAATCTAAATCAGATATAGAACGAATATCAAGAGCCAAACCTTCCTGTGGATATCCATTTTGCAGGAATCTCTCCTTCAGAACTTCTGCCTGAATCAGACAGTCCTCCTTCTTAGAACAGTTGCGGCGAATACGCCTAAACTGTCCTTTCAGAATGGATTTCAGCCATGTAGGCTGATGGCAGCTTCCAACGGGTATAAACCCATTCTGTTCAGTGGTTTTGAAAAAAGTTTTGGTGAAAAGTGTATTTTCTCTGAAAACAACAAGATCAAGAAAATTGATGGCCGTACTATTCCTCTCATAGGTGAATTTATTCCCCCATGTGTTGGAGTGAAGATGTGTCATAAAACACATGTAGTGAATGCACATCCCTCTGCCATTTGCAAAAAGCGTTGATATAACGATGCCAAAAGAGTAAATTATTCTCTTGAATACCATAGATAGCATGTTTCTCCCACAGCGCCATGAACAAATTGGCTAGGGTGGGGTCAAATTTAGCACTCATTGCCACATCAGTGCACTGTAGAACAAATTGTGTTCCATAGCAAAGTTTAACATCTCAAGAATAAACTCCTTCTGTTTCTCAGGTAACCTCTCATCTAGATCAAGAAAATGCTTAACTACTTCATAGTCCTTCTGATGTGGGATACTGGAATAAAGAGATAGAGACGTCCATAGTTACTAAGAGACAGGCTCCTTCTATATCCAACTGGGATAACTCGTTAATAATCTGCATCGTATCCTTAACCACTTCCAGACCGGACACTTTTACCCCCTTCCTGACCAGGGCAATTTTCAGCTTTTAGCGCTATCACACTTTGAATGACAATTGCGCGGTCATGCAACACTGTACCCAAATAAATTTTTTACCATTTTTTTGAGACAGATAAAGCTTTATTTTGGTGGTATTTATTCACCACTGGGATTTGTATTTTTTTTGCTATGTAAATGAAATGTCCAAAAATTTTGAAAAAAGTGTTTTTTTAATAAAATTTTGCAAATAAATAATATTTCATCATAAATCTTAGCCAAAATTTATTCCGTTATCTTTTTAGTAAAAAAAAAAAAATCCAAATTAGTTTATAACCAAAAATTATAATTTTTAAACCTTTTTGTTTTACATTTTTATTTTATTTTTTTATATTATTATTTTTTATTTTTATTTATTTTTTTACATACTGTCACCCTAGCATGGTGACACTGTACTACTTGTGGGGGGTGATGAAGATTTTTTTTTTTTTTTTTACACTGATTGCTTTTACACACATATAGGATGTAAAAGCAATCATTTCTCTTTCTCTCTGTGTGCATTCTTGAGAAGTACTGAGTGAGCTGTGATTGGTCACAGCTTGTCACATGGCACAAGGCTTTTGTGAATAGCCTTGTACCATGTGACCTCTGTGATCATTCACAGATTTCACACGTAGTAAGCTCCCAGGGAGCGCGCACAAAGCAGGGTGCGGGGAGGCCGTTTATAAACGGCCACCCGACCCTGCAGTGCCACCGTCCGGCCGTTTATATGCAACGGTCGGTCGGGAAGTGGTTAAGGAAGGCTGGAGTGCTAGTGACCAATGGTTGTAGAAAAAATCTATCTACTTTCCAATACGGGAGGTGATGGAGTCAATGCCACTCACAAATGGTCTACCAGGAAGTCTTTTCAAATTTTAGTTGGTATCAGTGTATTGTGATTGAGCCATGTGTTGATTTTGGAATCACATTGGCATCATGGTTTCTGTTTTATGGAATAATGCTCCTTGTTTTTTAACTTTATTTTTTATATATTTCAATCTTCCCTATGTCTACATGTGATAACCACCGCGTTCATAATTAGTTTTGTTTGCAGTGGAGTCTCTTGGTTCATATGCTTATTGCAATAATTTCCGGTGTCACATCTGCTTTAAATACATCACTCTGACGTCTCTGGCCCAATCTCCAATCCCAGAGGATGCCTGTTATGGGGAAACGTATCAGGAGGAGTTGAGGCAGTGACATCATTACATAAGGGTGAGCCAGGCGGGTTCCGCAGCCACTCTATGGTTTGTAAAATACCGCTTGAATCTTCTGATATTTGTAAGTGTGATTACTTTTAAATAAACCCTTAAGTCTGTACATGTTGCGCTATGAGACTTCTTTTTCTCTGCACTTAATATACGTCATTGCTGACAAGTGTCTAGAGGAGAGAGAGAGGAGCTTATAGCCCTGTGAAGGGGACATAGCTTCTGTATCTGGCTAAGGGAGTCCCCTTGGGACAGGAAGCGCCAGTGGTGAAAGCACTGGATCTGTCATATGGAGTTATCCCAAGCGCTATTGATATATGTGTAGTCTGAGATCATTATGGTCTGTTAAGAGGCTTTTGTTTTCTGGTGGAATATGCACAAGCACTGGTGCACTTTTTTGGCATAGGAGCACTTGGTACTTTCAAGAATACTTGGATTAACTTTATATAAAGAGACAGCGCACTTTATATTTTTGTTTGCACATTTAAGAATCTAGTATTCAGTGTTCCCAAGTGCAAAAGTCTGATACTGTATAAGGTTCATTGCGAGGGTTCTCAATTATTAATTAATGTAAAGCTGTATGATAGAAGCGGCAGCTCCCAATTTTATAGCCAGCATAATAACAGAGACCTGAACTGACAGCTGTCAAAAGTCCACGAATAGACAGAATTCTCTGCCGCTGTTTCTTAAGTTGTGGTGACCTCTACGTGCAGGGGTTACAGAGGGGCAGTAACATGTTTCGAAGGACAGACCCTTCTTTTTATATTCTCTTCATTTTGTCTTCTTCCTCTAGAACCAGCATAGCAAGATCCAACTTCAGTTAAGAAATGAGAGTATGAAAAGCGGCATGGTATTTTTTTGGGCCCTGACTGAAGATGGCTGTATTAAGGTCGTAATCTGCCCAAGGAAATGTGACACAGATGCAGAGAATCCTGCTTTAGTCAAATAGGCCACTTGTGTGCCAGAAATAGAGCTAGAATCAGATGTTGAGAATGATTTTAGAGCTGGAACTTACTCCGGGGCAAGAAATGCATTGTCACTCTGTAGTTGAGAGTTGTGTGGGCCTTCAACAGAATTTGGAATGGACTCCCTTTTACCGGGTCTCCACCACAGCTACAAGTGACGGTATTTTCCTGTGGAGAACTTGCTGAATAGGGTGTGGAGTATAGATTCAGTGTGTCCTTAAGGAGTATGTGATAAACCAAGTGTAGACTGTCCTGTAATGAATCCTTCTGTTGAAAGGGCATGAAGAAGTGCCTGGGCACCTTATAAGGACCCTAGGCAGAAGTGTGTGACCAGTGGCATGATGTAATACCTGGTCATTCCCCTAAGACTAAGTTCTGAGTAGTTGAATTTGAATGCCAAGTTTAAAATGTTTACACTGTCACAGTGGGCATACTCTCAAAGTGGTTTTTCAGGGACTGGGTTCCACAGAGATGGACCATGACCCTGGGCTTGTATACTGAGGCTGCACTGATATGAATACATTGCTTAGATGTTGGCATTAGAAGACAGTAAAATAATAAACTAGATAAGTTAAGGGTGATTTTCTTTGTGAAGGAGAAAATGTTCATCATCTTTAGACACTAGCACTAGGACTCAAGGAGTGGGTTAGAGTTACAGGGGAGGCATGTTCTCTAAACCCTGGCAATTGTCCATTCACCTGAAGGTACATGCCTACATGGTGTGCTAATACTCTGCCTAAAAATAGTCCATATAATAAAACTGTATTTTTCATACAAATAATTGCTTGCAGTAAATACATTATATTACACAATTTGAAAATTTCTGAATGCCATTGAACATAGTAGTCCTCACACATAGTACAACTTTAATTACTATATAGGGCTTCTCGAATACATAGAGCATTGCAATTTGACGCGTTTTGCAATCAGCTTTGTCAGGTAATATTTTGTACCTTACAACTGGACATGCAATAAATATCGCAAGTCCATAGCTAACCCCACCCATCCCCGGCCCTCCCTTGGAAGAGGATGCAAGAGATTTTGATGTACAACTAAAGGCAAAACTTGTTTTTAGTTTTGGATAGAGTGGAGAGGGATTAGAACTCAGTATTTATTGCTGTCTCTGCCCCCGTTAATGAGATTTACCATTTCTATTTGTCTGGTTTACCATTATCATTGAAGGTGAAAGTAAAAGAAAATCTAAAATTTTGGGTTGTCCCCGGAAAAGTAATAGAAGGGTAATCTTCCAATGGAGACACTAGTTCTGGCGACCTGGGGGTCCCCAGGGAATTCCCCTAATTTACAGGGATTTTCTTTCACTTCCTGTTTGGCTATGGGACAGGAAGTAAAGGGAAATCTCCACAATGGGACACAAATGGTGAATTAAATCTGACAGGGGTTATAACCCTCCCTTGCTCTATCCAAGATGAAAAAAGAAAGTTTTGCCTATAGTTCTACTTTAAGTTGTTGTTGTCGTTTAGCACCTATAAAGTCCCATTTATATGACAATTTTTTGGAAGGAGTCTCAAACGAAGGAAGGCATAAAAGGTTTTTTCTCTCTGCGAGGAGACTGCGCCACTAGAAAAAAACTGAGACAGACTTGGAGTAGAAGTTATACTGGGCTGTTCTTACAACTTTGTTTTGCCAGTTTCCTGAAAGCAGCACCATAACGCAACATACATAAATACTTTATCCGGTGTCCCTTAATGTATGATTAAGAAAACAGGAGTAGAGGGAACACCTCCAACATAAGTAGGAAGACATAAGGCCCCACCTTCCCTACTATCCTACTGTTTTCAATAAATAGTTAAACATTAAACGTAACTCCAAATGAAACATTTTTTTCTAAATCTACAATGGTATATTATAATTTCTAAAACTCACTTTGTGGTGGGATTGAGAGTGCACTAAGTAAAAAAAGGATGGACAACAAGATGGAGTCTTCAAGGTCATTACAAATAAATAAAATGTCAATTTAAACCACAACTTATAGTAGCTAAAAAGGTAAGACAATGTTTGCATCTTTGACACCCTTACTCATTTACCATATTTTTCGCTCCATAAGACGCACCTGACCATAAGACGCGCCTAGGTTTTAGAGGAGAAAAACAAGAAAAAAAATATTCTGAACCAATGGACTTCAGACATAGTACAGGAAGTGACCAGACACTGCGGACACAGTACAAGAGATGACCAGAGACTGCAGACAGTACAGGAGATGACCAGAGACTGCGGACACAGTACAGGAGAAGGACCAGAGAGTACAGCGGATGACCAGAGACACAGTACAGGAGATGACCAGAGACTGCGGATATAGTACAGGAGATGACCAGAGACTGCGGATATAGTACAGGAGATGACCAGAGACTGCGGACACAGTACAGGAGATGACCTGAGACTGCGGACACAGTACAGGAGATGACCAGAGACTGCGGGCACAGTACAGGAGATGACCAGAGACTGCGGACATAGTACAGGAGATGACCAGAGACTGCGGACACAGTACAGGAGATGACCAGAGACTGCGGACACAGTACAGGAGATGACCAGAGACTGCGGACACAGTACAGGGGATGACCAGAGACTGCGGACACAGTACAGGAGATGACCAGAGACTGCAGACACAGTACAGGAGATGGACCAGAGACTGCGGACATACTACAGGAGATGACCAGAGACTGCGGACATAGTACAGGAGATGGACCAGAGACTGTGGACACAGTACAGGAGATGACCAGAGACTGTGGACAGTACAGGGGATGACCAGAGACTGCGGACAGTATAGGGGATGACCAGAGACTACGGACAGTATAGGGGATGAACAGAGACTGCGGACAGTACAGGAGATGAACAGAGACTGCAGACAGTACAGGAGATGACCAGAGACTGCGGACAGTACAGATGACCAGCGACTGCAGACAGTACAGGGGATGACCAGAGAGACTGCAGACAGTACAGGGCATGACCAGACACTGCGGACCTTTATAGAGGGAAGGGGAGTGGGTACCTGAATGTGACAGGTACTCGCTCCCACTTCCGCGGAGTTCTCCTTCCTATACTGTGGGCACCCGACTTTGACAGCCGGGTGCCCACTGCGCATGCGCGAGAAGCTGGCGCGAGAAGACTACAGCGCTGGACCGAGGAACAGGTGAGTTCCTGCCGCAGAGAACAGCTGAGCGGCCGGCCCGGTATTCTGACATGGTAGAGGCGGAAATACCGGACCGGCCGCTTTATATTCGCTCAATAAGACGCACTGACATTTTCCCCCCTTTTTTGGGTGGAAAAAAGTGCGTCTTATAGAGTAAAAAATATGGTACATATATAGAATGTGTGTGCAGTTGTGCATTGCTGACCTCATCCAGTCGCCGCTCTGTCCCCATCGAAATGAGACTACTGAACTCCTTTTCCAGCACTTGTCGAGCCTAACAACAAAAGACAGCATATCAAAGAAACAATCCAGAGGAAGTTAAAGATTCAACCTGTTAGATTGGCGATGCTTTCAGACAACACTATCCATCCTGAGCTGAACCAACCAATCTGTGATATACTCCTATGTATATACTGTATGTCATAAAAAATGATTATTATGCATATTCCAACCTATTTGTGTTAGCCTGTCACTATTTTAAAAGTAAAAAGACTCAAGCTTACAAACAGCAGATGCCACAAGGAGCCTGCCCAAACATGTTCTTAATAGAAATGACTGAGGATGGTATTGCTATGCTCTACTACTCTGGCATCTCACAGGGCACTGTGTGTGCCTTAGCGATCTACAGAGATGCACATATATTGCATTGTAGGCAGACAGTGGGAGTAATGTAACCAATATGAAGCCTGCTCAAGATATACCAGGTGTACATAGCCTTCCTAGCATGCATGGACACGTTTATCAGAAACAAAAAATAAAGAAGATGTAAAGCCCTGTATGTTGAAGTGACTGCTTGTAGTTTCCATTGAAAGTACATGTGACAGAGTGTCATCACAAAAGCATAACTTGGAGGTTGGTCTTTTTTTAAGCACATACTGTGCTTGAAAAACCTCCTTCATAGCTGGGTCACCAGCATTATTTTAATGAAAGCTGCATATTTAAAAAAATGATTTTTGAAAACACATTAACATGTTAAAGCTTATATGAGATTGTGCTGATTGGGTTTACATATACTTTATTGCAGGCCCCCCTGCAATGTGTATTGGTGAGCATTTATACTGTTACCCACATAACAGGTGCTTATTACTATGCATTGTAATCATTACACATTAAAAATATTCAGATTCAAATCCAGTCTGATTTTTTTCAGTGATGCTATAAATCCCCCACACATTTTTTTAATGAATGCTCTGTCCTAAACACCCCAGTCAAAAGCTGCAAGTAAAATACACTAACCTGTGTGTTCTGCGTTGGGATCTGTAGCAGCAACCCTAGATCGTTAAAGTCAAATGTGTCATCTAACGCAATAAGGGCTCCATGTACTCCACTCTCATGCAAGTTATTAGCATATTCCTTCAGTCCTATAGACTGAACCCAGCACATTACACGCTCATTGGACCAGACCATGACATCTGCAGGAGAGCACATAAGATATTTCAGTAAATGGTTTTCCCTACTTCATGGAATTCATACTATTTCCAGGACAGTGACTTGTGAATAGCTTTACTGTCCCAGAACTAGTATGTGTCACATTGCAAAAATTATCATTCCCATCAGACAGCCTTCTTATATAGTTTATTGCTCTGTAATAGACAATCATCTGAAATTATAGCAATTCTTTACAGATCACAGCATTCTCCATAAAGAAAATGCTCTGATATTTATTAATATTTATTTATTACAGTACGCCATCAATTTACGCAGTGCTTTACATATATATTGTACATTTGCATCAGTCCCTAACCCTCAAGGGGTGTACAGTCTAAGGTCCCTAACGTATATTCATACATACACATACTATGGCCAAATTTAGATAGGATCCAATTAACCTACCAGTATGTCTTTGGAGTGTGGGAGGAAACTGGAGTACCCAGAGGAAACCCACGCAAACACAGGGAGAAAATGCAAACTCCAGGCAGGTGGTGCCGTGGTTGGGATTCCAACCAACGGCGCTAGTACTGCCATTTAGGATCTGAGGACCTATTTCTGACATTAGCATGACAATTATTAAATCCATAGAGTATAGCTCTACTACTGTTGCTATGCACAACAGTTTTTATTATGGTTTTAATTATCCCAGGTAAATGTAAAGGGTATCTGTATCTTTAAAGCAAACATTTACATGAAATCAAGATGCATTACAAAAGATCAAAGTGTCTGTGGTCACATGAAATGTCATTGTCAGACCTTAATCCATGATGTCTGGTGGTCCATCCAGGATTCCCCACTCTCATCATTTACACAGTCATTTCATTTTGTACAAAATAAAGTACAGTAATACCTCAGTTTACAAATTTAATTTGTTCTGCAGGACTTTTCATATAGCGAAAAATTTGTAAACTGAAACACTGTTGCCCATAGGAATGCATTGAAAACTAATTCATCCGTTCCGGAGGTCAGAAAAAAGTAAACTACTAAAATACTGCATGAGTTATTTTATTAAGTCATGCAATATTTTAGTAGTGACAATCATGTGTTAATCTTTTAGCTGTCAGTGGGGTTCCCCACTGACAGATAAATGTAAAATAATTGCAGGCAATTAAAAAAATAATTTTAAAAATGGCGCTGGGTCCCATCCACACCAAGCCCTTCGGGTCTGGTATGGATTTTGAGGGGAACTCCCATGCCAAAATTAAAAAAAAAAAAAATGGATTGGGGGTTCCCCCCCAAAATCCATACTGGACCCTTATCTGAGCATGCAGCCCGGCAGGTCAGGAAAGGGGGGGGGGGGATGAGCGAGTGCCCTCTCCCTCCTGAACCATACCAGGCCACATGGGGAGTGCTTTGGGGCTCCCCCCCCCCAAGCACCTCTTCCCCACAACCCTGGCCGGTGGTTGTGGGGGTTTGCGGGCAGGGGGCTTATTGGAATCTGGAAACCCCGGTAACAAGGGTGCCCCCAGATCCCGGCCCCACCCCTATGTGAATGAATATGGGGTACCCCTACTCATTCACAAAAAACAAAAAAGTGTAGTTTGAAAAAAGACAGGACACGGTCTTTGCCAAGTCCTTTATTAAAAGAAAAAAACTAAAAGAATGTCCCCCGCAGTAGATCCAATGTTAATCATGATGCCCGCTGTCACCGCCACTGCCGTCGCCGACCCAAAAAAAAAAAGAATAAAAATAAAAAAGGCTTTGCTCCCGACGATGGCTTCCAGCCTTCAACCTGCTCCGGTGGTTTGACAGTTCTTAAATATGTAAGGGGCGGGGGTCACCTGGTGACATCACGCATGTGACCCTACTCCACATCATTGATGTTACATGGGGCATGTGGCCTGGTATGGTTCAGGAGGGGGTGGGAGGAGCTCACAGTCACTCGCCCCCCCCCCCCCCCCCCCCCCTTTCCTGACCTGCTGGGCTGCATTCTCGGATAAGGGTCTGGTATGGATTTTGGGGGGGGGACCCACGCCATTTATTTTTGCGTGGGAGTTCCCCTCAAAATCCATACCAGACCCGGAGGGTTTGGAATGGATGGGAGGGGGGACCCCACACCGTCTTTTTTATTTATTATGGTGCCGGTTTTTAAATGTAATTACCACTTTTTTTTTTCTTCACTATAGTTCAGAAATTCTGCTGTCACTTTCCCTCCAGCAAAAAGAAAGAAAGTTTTCTTAGTTTATTTCCCCAGAAACAATGTTTCCTTTTAGTTTCTTAAAAGAAACAAAGTTTCTGTTAACTCTGGGGAAAGTGACAACTAATTCTGTGAGTTATAGTGAAGAAAAAAAAAGCCAGCAATTGCATTTAAAAATCAGCAGTCATACACTTCGTATTGCAAAAAAAAAAAAATCCGTAAAAAATTCGTAAACCGAGGCATTATTTTCAATGGATTTTCATTCGTAAACTGAAAATTACGTTAACCGAGGTGTTTGTAAACTGAGGAATTACTGTATCTCTTTACTTCACATCCCTCAATGTTACCTTCTAATTTAACATTCTATAATACTCTACAAGGCCTGGAAGACCTCTGTTTGATGAGGCTGTGGGGTATACAAGTGGATAAGATCTTTTGATGTTCCTCCTACCTTTAATTTGATTTTGGCTCTCCTCTCGCCTCCTCTCCAGATCCTTCCTGTCATAGTTCAGTCTTTTCAGGCACATGATACCATAATGAAGGCTAACCCTAAACACCAACAGCAAAATGTTAAAAGTCTAAAGTGTACATTAAGGAATGTTACAAATTTAGTAAAGACTAAACACATGCTGTACTAACAACACATTTGGCATTAGATACAAACTGAAAGATTTGATACACAAAAAATAGAGTCATTTTCCCTCTAATGGGACTTTAAGGATAACCCTAAATCAGGTTGCCCTTAAAGTCTCATTAGAGTAAAAAATAGTTTTATTTCTGCATAATAGAAGGGAATGGTGGCAACCCCTAAAACCGAGTTGAGCACAAGTTTCATTTTAAGATTTGAGAGATGAATTAAGTTATTGTGGGTTTTACACTCAAAGTCGATAATATTCTAATGGTATAAATACTAAAGCACTCCAGAATGGAATCTTAGCATCTTTAAATTTCAAAATGATAGCACAAATTTAAAAACAAAATGATAACTCACGGCTATCCAATAGGGAGGAAAAAGCTGCTAAACCATTTTTCCCCAAGAGTCATTGGCTTTCAGAAGTTAAAGGCAGATACATTAAGATTATTTTGGTTGGATTGCTATGGATAATGAAAAGATTTCTGAGCCCTCATTAACTAATGGTCGATGTTGTCCTAAAGGTATGGTACCAAAATAATGCAGACAAGGATCCCTGAGCCTGAAAGTTTTTTTTTTTTTAAAACAGAAAGGTATATATTGATACATCAGTATGAAATAAATCGAAGCCATATTTATAAGTGTGGGGGGGGGTCCCCTGCCCTCGGAGCAGTGTGGAAGGGGGCGCTAGGTTGCCAGCAGGCTTAGGAATCTATTGCACGAAATACTCGGGCTCGGTTGCATCACCATATGCCTCAGTCTCTGTGCCGCAAAAGCCTGTCCAAAAGCAGAGCCGAGGATGTGCCCATAGCTATTGCCAGTTTTCTCTCTATGGCAGCAACACACCCCTTTCTGGAAGGAAGAAACACTCTCTCCCAGGCAGATTCATGTCAGGATGGCCAGCTAGATCTGGGCTGTAACAGTAAGAACTCCAGTACAGGTGAGCAGAGCAAATGATACAACACTGCAGCCCGGATCACTGCATCCTGCCTGGCAGACATCAGAGCTCTCCCCAGGGAAGAATGAAGATAACAGATGACAGATTGCAGACTGGAATTTCTCTTTCTGTAAGTCCTGACCTGTTCTGCTTTCCAGACTGTGCAATTTCTGTGCTGTAAATTTGTACTGCACTTTGCAATGCATGTTTGCTGAAAGAGAAAATTACATTTTTTATATGTTAGGAATATGCTGGGACTTTTCAGGTTCTACACAGATGTATTCCACATACACAATATCTTACTAAAAATCCTTCCTTTTATTAAGATAGTGTGTATGTGGAATACATCTATGTAGAATCTGAAAAGTCCCAGCATATTCCTAACATATAAAAAAAATGTGTGCATGAACAGAAAGGAATGTGGTGACATAACAAAGCTCAAATCCAGAAAAGTAAAAAAGTCCACCCTGGCAGTGTTGGGAAAAAATAGCATCTTTCAGTTACATGATTCTTTGCTCCAGCCTCAGCATCATCACATACTATTCAGGAACATTAACCCTGTATGGTATGATGTCAAAGCCAAAGTGTGACCACAGCCACTCACAATTTATCCAGGAGATCCAGAGCTCCTGGAGCAAGGAATAGGGTAAAGCTGGATACACACAGATCAATATTTGTCCTGTTCAGCAGGGACCAACCACATTTTGATCTCTGTGCAGCCCTACCTGTTAGACAGAAGCCAATCATCAGATCAGCTTCTGTAGAATGGGACTGCTGGAAAATCTTGTTCAATCAGTGGCTTGCAGCCAATCAGCTGCAGATCAGTGTATTCTGACCGCAAAGAGTCCCTGCTGTCAGAATACAATGTCTTGGTGGAGGGCATTTCTGCATCCCCCTCGCTTGTGTGGCTGCAGGAGTTTGTTAGTTTTTTTTTTTGTTTTTTATTTCAGCCCACAGGGCATTCACATGGAGTCGAGCGTGTTTTTCTCCTGCATCAAAAACGCAATGATTGTAGGTTACATGGTTTCCAGTGGCAAAGTTCACACCAGTGCGGTCAGCTCCAGTGCGTTCCAGTCCCGGGAAAAAAAAGTAGAACATGCTGCATTTTTTCTGCACTTAGCTGTACTGGAACGGCGTAAAAAGCACCATAAATGCACTGGAACACACCAAAAACACACTGGAATGCACATGCCTCTATATAAATTGAAGAAAAAGAGGGTAAAAATTAATTGGAATTAATCAAAAATGCACCGGAACGCATCAAAAACGTATAAAAAAAAAATCGCATTGAAATGCGCCACAAAACACATATGCAGAAATGCATTTGGAACGCATCTGGACTGCATGTGATCTTTACATTTATGCAGTACAGGAGGCCCCACTTCAAGGGTGGATTTTTTTTTAATGTTCCTGGAGTTGGAATTATGAAAGAAAAAGTCAGAGAAGACACTGGGGTCAGGGAGGTACATAAAGTGGTGGTGTTATGTAAATATCTGAGGTCAAGCACTGATATCGGACGAGAAGGCCTGGCTCGCAGTCTCTGCTCTAATTCATCCCAAAGGTGTTCTATTGGATTGAAGTCAGGACTCTGTGTAGACCAGTCAAGTTCCTCCACTCCAAACTCACTCATCCATGTCTTTATGGACTTTGCTTTGTGCACTGGTGCGCAGTCATGTTGAAACAGGAAGGGGCCATCCCCAAACTGTTCCCACAAAGTTTTGAGCATGAAATTGTTCAAAATGTCTTCGTATGCTTACACCTTAAAAGTTCCCTTCACTGGGACTAAGGGGCTAAGCCCAAACCCAAAAACAACCCAACACCATAATCCCCTCCACAAACTTTTACACGTGGCACAATGCAGTCAGTCAAGTACCGTTCTCCTGGTAAATGCCAAACCCAGACACGTCCATCGGATTCCCAGACAGAGAAGAATGATTCATCACTCCAGAGAACAAGTCTGCACTGCTCTAGAGTCCAGTGGTGGAGTGCTTTACACCACTGCATCCGAAGCATTGCATTGCACTTGGTGATGTAAGGCTTGGATGCAGCTGCTCAGCTATGGAAACCCATTGCATGAAGCTCTCTACTGTTGTACTAATCTGAAGTCCACATGAAGTTTGGAGGTCTTTAACTATTGACTCTGCAGACAGTTGGCGACTTCTGTGCACTGTGCGCTTCAGCATGCGCTGGCTCTGTCATTTTATGTAGCCTACCACTGAGTTGCTGTTGTTCCCAGTTGCTTCCACTTTGTTATAATCCCACTAACAGTTGACCGTGGAATATTTAGTAGCAAAGAAATGTCACGGATGGACTTATTGCACAGGTGGCAACCTATCGCGGTACCATGCTTGAATTCACTGAGCTCCTGAGAGCGACCCATTCTTTCACAAATGTTTGTAGCAGTCTGCATGCCTAGGTGCTTGATTGTATACACCTGTGACCATGGAGGTGATTGGAACACCTGAATCCAATGATTTGGAGGGGTATCCTAATACTTTTGGCAATATAATATATGCAGTTGTGTTCAAAATAATAGCAGTGTGTTGAAAAAAGTGAATAAAGCTCAAAATCCTTCTAATAGCTTTTATTTCCATGCACACAAATGCATTGGGAACACTACACATTCTATTCCAAATCAAAACATGAAGAAAAATATATCAAATTTTTGTGTTGTTCCTCTAAAAAAATTGAAGAAAAGTAAATATTAGACTGTTCAAAAAAATAGCATTACAGCGCTAGAAATGAAATATAAGAATATACTAATAGTGATGTATAAAATAGCACAAATGTATAACAAATATTAAAGCAACACAGTATATCCTTAAGAAATTATAGCAATGGTGGAGCTGTACCGAACACCTTCACTAATATTGTAATATAGTAGTATAACACACAGTGCAAGCGATAGTCCAAAATGACTAATGGTAGTAAACCGCAATATGACTGAAAATGGTGACTTGGTAAAATCCCAGTGAAACCTGTAATCCGGTGCCGTGCAGGAATAATAGGTGAATTGCACACTCACCAGAGGTGCGCATTTGTGTCATATACACCAGAGGTCCCTTCGGTTGTAGATGGAGCATGGCCTGGAATGGATGACTCCGCGATGAATGGTGGAACATCTGGAGGTCCCCTTAATGAGCCTGGCTAAAGATGGGATCTGCTGATTACAACTCTCCTCTGGGCCCTGGGATGGTCACCTGGTGGTCCTGGGGGGTTAAATGCTCGATATAGAGCAGAAAGGAGTACCCATAGTGTAGTATTTAAGTTGAACCAAAAAAATGAATTTATTGAAGATTAAAACAGAAAAGACACACTTCTTAGGTACTGTAGTATAAAACAATCCTTGTGCACAAAGGATATGATAAAATTGAATACAGCATAACACTGACCCAGCTGGTAAAACAGGGGGGCCGCCGGACCTCCCTGATCCGGCGGCTTGACGTGACGGCTAGCAAGGGCTTCTCCTTGACGTGCATTTCGTATCACACGTACATCATCACAAGGGTAAGATCCGGGGATTGGGCTGGCCACTCCATAACGTCAATCTTGTTGGTCTGGAACCAAGATGTTGCACGTTTACTGGTGTGTTTGGGGTCGTTGTCTTGTTGGAACACCCATTTCAAGGGCATTTCCTCTTCAGCATAAGGCAGCATGACCTCTTCAAGTAGTTCTGATGTATTCAAACTGATCCATGATCCCTGGTATGCGATAAATAGGCCCAACACCGTAGTATGATAAACATCCCCATATCATGATGGTTGCGCAACCATGCTTCACTGTCTTCACAGTGTACTGTGCCTTGAATTCAGTGTTTGGGGGTCGTTTGATAAACTGTCTCCGGCCACTAGACCCAAAAAAAGAACAATCTTAGTTTCATCAGTCCACAAAATGTTGCACCATTTCTCTTTAGGCCAGTCAATGTGCTCTTTGGCAAATGGTAACCTCTTCAGCACGTCTTTTTTTCAACAGTGGGACTTTTGCGGAGGCTTCTTGCAGATAGCTTGGTTTCACATAGGCGTCTTCTAATTGTAACAGTACTCTCAGGTAACTTTATACCTTCTTTGATCTTCCTGGAGTTGATTGTTGGCTGAGTCCTTGCCATTTTGGCTATTCTTCTATCCATTCGAATGGTAGTTTTTCGCTTTCTTCCATGTCTTTCAGGTTTTGGTTGCCATTTTAAAGCATTTGCGATCATTTTAGCTGAGCAGCCTATCATTTTATGCACTTCTTTATATGTTTTCCCCCTCTTCAATCAATTTCTTAATCAAGGTACGCTGTTCTTCTGAACAATGTCTGGAACGACCCATTTCCTCAGAATTTCAGAGAGAAATGCACTGTAACCAGCATGTACAAACATTTGCTGCCTTCCTTCCTTAAATAAGGGCAATAATTGCCACCTGTTTTTCAAAGAATGAATGACCTCACTAATAGAACTCCACACTGCTATTATTTTGAACATGCCCCTTTCAATTAGTGATTCAATTACACAGAATCAGCATGTCATGACTGTTGGGTCTGTTGGATTTCTATTACTCTACTACACCTGCTAGTAAATTATTTGCCATGTAGCAATATCATTTCTACCAAAAACAGTGATTGATCAGGTTAGTGATGTCTGACTGCTATTATTTAGAACACAACTGTGTATATATACTGTATATATATATATATTATATATATGTATATATATTATACACATATACACACACACATTAGGGTGCATATCTCTGCAGTTTACCCACTGTTGCACATTGTATACAGCATATTCCTTACCCTTGCACTGTACGTTGTCCACTCCTGCTTCCTGAAATCTGTACATTATTTTTGCTCCTGACTCTTGAACTTTGTAAATTATTCAGTCTTGACCTTTGCACTATATACATAGGTATAATGATCAGGTGTGGTTCTCAGGTATGGATAAGACCACTGGTCATGCACATCCTAGGGGGGCGCTATTTCGCATGTTCGCCCTGAGCGCTGGATGACCTTGTCGCTGTTTATAAGAGCGCAAGAATAAAAACTATCCATAGCAACAATACTCTGTATTCTATTAGTGCAGTAGTGGAAAGACACAGGAAGGATCTTATTGGCTGGGTATCAAGTTAACAGAAGCAGGCTGTATGGTACTGACCTGTGAAAACTATCTACCATTTTGAGTTGTCCTCGAAGCTCTTTTTTGTTCAAGTGGTCTAACATTCTGGCATCCACTAAGGACTCCATAAAGTAGCTGCGATACTGGGGTAATCCCAGACTAGGTAGCCAGTCATTACCCACCCATTCATGATTCATGTCACCATATGCCAGGATCTGTTAATTAGAAACAATAAAATAGGTAAGCCGTACTAATAAAAATGACTACTCTACAAAATTTTAACCAGTTAAGCTCCAGAATTACCCCAAACTAGAACCACAACACCTTGTGTTCTGGCCAGGGAAAAACTAGATATGAAAGTACCATAATTCCTTTAAAAAAAGGCAATCAGCTTCACTACTTGTGTAAAGTATGTAAAATGTATTTATTACAGCAATATTAAAGAGACATGGCATCCCAACCCCTATAAACAATTAAAAATGTTAAAATTTTAAGCTCACTTCCTGTTTTTGGGACCATTTCCAGTGCACCATTTTGTCACCCATTTGCCATGTGAATGATTGCACACTACTTCTATAATACACATTCCATGCAATTAGCTGAAGTGGTTACATACCACAATACGTATTTCCAATCTTTTCTTACTACACTTATATTAGTTTTGTATGTTGGCACTATATAGAACAGGTGTCTACAGTTACAGTATGTTTGGTATATACAGTAGGTGGTTTGTGCACATTTAAACCACATTTTGTACTCAGTACTGGTCTTATGATAACAGTATCTTACATATCTTTTGCATTAAATTTATAGAACTTGGGTTCTCCCCTAGATAGGTGCTCTTGCTGAACATTTTTCGGGGTTTATAAGTGCAATTATTTTCTACTGTTACTGCAACTGATTTGCATGCACTTGTTGGTTCAAACATCATCTTTAATGGGTACTTATATTTCAGAGGGCTCCTTGATGAGCTATGTGGGATTTGTAATTGTTTATAGCAGGCTAGGTGTTACGTCTTTCTTATATTGCTGTGTTGAATTAATGATGCATGTTTCACACAGTGCGACTCATTTTTTTTGTAGGCGATTATGGTGGTTTCGAAACCAGTTAAGCTTCAGTACCATTTTCACATTTTAGATTTTGGCCTATTATTCCAATATATTTGTCATTACTTACAATACAGACATATTACATATATTTAATTCTTTAGAACAAACAAGGCTTCTTTTCATTGGCATTGCCTTACAAAAGCGATTTATTCTGAATTCTATTAAAGTAAAAAGAAAAAAGAGACACTTCTATCTAAGTAATATCATTGAAATATTTCAACCAACCAGTTATAAACCATATATAAAAATACGGCTTAGTTTTTCACACTTTCACTACAAAATAAAAAAAATCTCATCTATTTTCAGGTTTGCTTCCCCAACTCCTGTGTAATAAAAATAGATACATTGTAATTAGCTGCTTCTGACAGGTAGCTAACATAAAGTACCAGTTGTGGTGTACACGCTGATCAGTTAAAAAAGAGCTGCTGACTACCGCTTTGCTTTTGCAGGATCTGTCAGAATGACATCAGGTCTCAGCAGTACGTATGGGGGGAAGGGTTAGGACTCTAAAATTCAACAGCCACATCCTGGGCTCTTATCTTCTTACAATTTAAAGACAAGAACATGATAAAAGAGTATGTTACCCCAGCATTTCATATTCCTGAAATATGTCTGTTGTACAATGTGCTCATGTTAAAAAGTATCCTGTTCTCTTTGCATTGCTTCTTTTGTGTGAAACACCTGGTGATCCTGCCAACCCCTGTGCTCTCCTGATTGAAAATGATCTTGCTAGAAATGAGAGTACATCTTTCTGAGCATGGTCAGTTTTCTGGCTGTGCTGAGAGCACAGCCTGACAGTCCTCCAATAATCTTGATCAATCTTAATAAACTTGATCTGATGCAGCCCCCTGCACAGCCATTCACTGGGAATGTCAGTGTACTGCTGTTTCTCCAGCTCCAGCTCTCAAAACTCTTATGCAGCTCAGAACAGAGATTATGCGATCACTTATAAAAAAAAAAGTATTTATATTTTTTTCATATACAGTATAAATAATAATGTGCCTTTCCTTTCTATTTTAAACTGAATGAGTTGTTCTACAAGGTATTTGTTCACATATACTTTAATCAGCATTCAAAATGTAACAGCGGGTAGAATAAATGATCTTTTACAAAAAAAAACGTTTGTGCCACATTAATCATCACACTTGCAAAACAGTGTGTGCTGTTAAGTTCCGCCAGCATTTCTCCAGTTAGTTATTGCCCGAGGCTACCATATTACCAAAGGTGGAGCCCAGGGAGGGCAGTTATTTCCTTGTTGAATCACAGTCTACAGTTTGAAATATGTGCAGCTTTAGCCCTGATTGTGTATCTGGACTCAGCAAGAGTGGGAGGCTATCAGTAGCTGCTTAATCATAGGATTCTAGGTCTTTCAGACCAAATGCAAACTGCTGGTGAAAGATGAAGGAGAAAGAAGTAGAAGTATATAAATAAGATACAGGGTTGGGCATTGACACCTTGCACTTCAATTCATTGAAAAATCTGAATTCAATATTCTAGAATGGATCAAGTAGAGCAGTAATCCAGAATGGTATTACAGTACTGGCAACTTGGCAAGAATCTTCAGAGGCTCAGCTGCATGTGTGTCTGACAAACAAGATTTTTGCGTCATCTAATCTGGTGCTGGGTTTGTTAAGTATGCAGAAAAGGTGCCTATAAAAGCTTAAAAGCTTGTCCACACTACATTGTGTGCACCGTAACATGTAAGTGTTAAGGGGCATTAAGCAGTTCATTCATTCTGAATGCACTTTGAACTTTTATACATTTTCTGCCAAATTATCTCTGGTTAGAAAGCCACATGGTGGGTTCAAAACGATTTTCTAATATAGATTATGTTATGGTGTATGGAAAATGATGTCACATTGCCATTCCTATGATTTTTCCTAACTTAATATAATCATACTGTTTGTAGAGTGCTATTGCTATGGCTGCAATGTATATTGATGAGCAATGTGGCTGGCATATTGTGCGCATCTTCTGCCTCTCTTAAGCATTATATTTTATTGTATGTGTCTGTCTGTAGCCCTTTGGATAAACTGGAGGCAACAAGTAAGTCCACAAAATGTAGCATGTTTTCTAACAAGGCTACATACATAATTATGCAAGTCCAACAGTAGGTGGGGCTGTATGACCCTGCTAAGAGCTTTCGGCTGTCATTGGTTTAATCAGGAGCAATTATAATAACAATTTAGACATGAATAATTGTTTTCTTTTGAAGATAACCTTACAATAAACCCACCTACCTGTTCCCAGCTGATTTCCTTAGTCTCCTGACAGTGGTTAGATTGTTAAAAAGAACAAATCAGAAAGTCAAGTGGTGAGCAAGCAGCAAAAAGAGAACTAGTGCAGCAGACATATAGGCAAACAAACATTAACCTACACATACAATAGAAGCATTTAAAGCACATGCAGAGAGTAAGAAGAAAGGATAGATGCAGAGGGAAACAGAATATGTGCCTTCAAGAGAGATTTGCATTAGGATTCTGTTGGAATTTTCATCTTAGCTCAGAGCTACAAGTGGTACAAACGAGGCTTCCTATGAACGGTCACTGGGACCTGTCTCCATATAACAAAGGTCTGATAATCCAAGAGTATCTCAGGATACGCCTATTGCACTTTTTTCACCAACAGAAAGAGATAAGGTTCTTGTAATTTATTACATGGTGCCCAGGGCAGACCCATGGCATTGTATTATATCTCTCAGTATGCCTGCAAATGCTTTGTAATACCCCAAAAAAGGCCAGACAAGAGGGGTATAGTTTGCTTTGTCTGACTTTATCTGTCCAGAACAAAAATGGGTATTGAAAATTAAATAATGATGATGAAATATTTTAGTTTGAAGGGTAAAAAAGATTGACAGCTTACAGGTTTGGTTGTTGCCGTTAACGTTTCCATCTCTTCATGAGTCATCCAGACATTGCCTGTTGACTAGATGGAAAATAGGAATGAGGAGGTTAGTGCACAGATCAAAAAAAAAACACATGCCTAACTAGTTGTTTAGTCCTTAGGTGAAAGATCTGTGGTGGTCATGTCCTTACAATGTACTACAGCTTTGTATTTGTGGCAGCTTCTTTTTTTTGTGGGGGGGGGGGGGGTCATGGTAAACTCCAGAAATTGCAAATATTAGGCATTGGGAGATGAATCTTGAAAATAAATTCTGCCAATTTTCAAGGCAATGGATCGTCAAAGGAATGGGAGGTGGTCAAGGCCATAAGGGACATGTAGCAATGGAAAAAGCAATTTTACAAAATGCCATTCAACAGTGAGAGGGCCCTTCACTTCATGGCAAACACCAATCATTTAAATTAAATGCTTGGGAAATGCCATTAAACTGTATGCAGTGTTAGGGAACAGTAGGATTTCATGGACAGCATCAGTGACCCTATTCTAACATTAAATTAGCATGTGTAATAAATTACTTTACTGTTACATTATTGCTTGGTTTAAATACAGCAGCAGCATCACCTAAATATGATTCATTTAACTTGAGAAAATGTCTTTTTCAGTAGTTATGGCTGCTACACCTTTTTTTTTCATCTAGCAGTACTAGGCCAGAATTGAATGGAAGAAAAAGCGACCACAACAGATCTAAAAAAGGTATTGGAAGTTTCACACTTTCAAAAAAAAAAAAAACTAAAGCCCTCAGTTTTCATACCAATTCCCAAACAGTGGCATAGGAGGTTAATAATAAATCTTAAAGCAGAGTTCCACCCAAAAGAGGAAGCTCCAAGGCTTCACCACCGGTTTTCCTTAGTCAAGATGGCGGCGCCTCTACCTGACAGCCATATGAAGAATCAGCTCAGGTTAGGACACCGCTGGAAGCATGGACAGGTAAGTGCCCTACTATTAAAAGTCAGCAGCCACAGTATTTGAACTCCACTTTAAGATTTTCTTTTTGTGCACCACACTGTATTGTCTAAAAGGTCAATACAGTGCACAAAACACTTCAAAACCACAACCCCAAATTTCATAGATAAGGCGGTGCTATAATGAAAAAATGATAGTCCCACGTTTCAGAGACAATAGCCAGACATATAGCACAGTGGCTGGATAGTTTGTAAGAGTGACTGGGCTATAAGTTAAGAGGAAGAGAAGAGGCTGGTTTTAGCATTAA